GCTAGTGATTCCTGGAAAAGCATACTGATTTTTATAAGGGACCCTGTGATATAACCTTATTTTAGAAACCAAAGGGAAAAGGAGAATCCCAAGTGCAGCTAGTCTAATGCTTGTAATCAATTGTTGAGAGCAACTATTTTATTACCTTTTACTGAGTACCTGCTTTTGCAAGGGCTACAGAAAATAATAAAACAAAGTCTTGTTCTCAGTCTGATGACAGAACCAAATAGATTGAGTCAAATATGGCAAAGCACCATTAACAAAAAGGAGGGAATAAGACTTCTGCCTAAAATTGCTGAGGCAGAAATATTGGAAGGGGGAGGTGTCTTCACCAAGAATATGGTGTTAGAGCTGGGTTTTGAAGAATGAGTAGAAGATAGGTTTGTGATAAATGACAAAAAGGGGTAGGAAAGGCATTTAATATAAAAGAACTAGCATCTGCAAAAGGAGAGGTGCACAAAATACTGGTGACATTAAACATATTTAATAATCAGTTATACACAGACAGCAACAAATCCAAATCTCATCCTAACCAAGCAGAGTGGACATCAGCCATAAACAAACTGGTATAGCCATATCGTTGTATACAAACTTTATTGTCAGCTCCAGAGAGAGACTAGAGTGTTACAGAAATGCTGAGTAGTGTGGCATACCTGATATTAATGTAATAATAATAGCTGACACTGTATGCTTACTATGATTCAGGCACTGTGCTTTGCATGCTCTATCTTCTATAATCCTCCAATCAACCCCTATGCAGTAAATACTGTTACCATCCTCATTTTACAGATTGAAATTGGGTATCAAAGATACTAAATCACTCAACTCAGAAATATTGGAGCTACATTTATACCTATATGGACTGGCTCCAAAACTCACATGCTTTACTAAGGTACATTGCCTCAGGTAGTGGCTAGAATATAGGTTGCCTCTAACATTGTGGGGATATAAAAAGAAGTACAATAGTAACAAAAATAAATTAATTTAAAAAAAAAAGAGGTACAATAGGTTGACCTTTCCCTTATGAACATTATTGTTTGATTGTAAAAGCAAGATTCTCAGCCATACAACCTAAAGAACATCACAAGGACTATCCTACAGGAACAAATTACACTGGCCCAATGAGTGGGACACATCATGTGTGCTGTGTTTTTTTCACTGAGTTGACACGATCATGGAAGAAATGGAACTTGAGCTTGGCCTTGAGAGGTATGGCATAGTAGGAAAATGTGGAATTAGGGTTAGAAGTGCTAGGGTTCAGTAGCGAGCAGCATGACCTGGGCCAAAGTAATTTCCCTCAATGTCCTCATCTGAAAAATTGGTGATTTGGATTAGACTAGTGGTTCTCAACAGATGCACACTACCCCCATCAGGTATTTTGGAAATTGTTATGGTATTTTTTTTTTCCTGTATTGATTTTAGAGAGAGTAGAAGTGAGAGGGAAAGAGAGAGAAAAACATCGATGAGAGAGAACGATTGGCCACCTCCTGCATGCCCCCCACTGGGGATCAAGCCCACAACCTGGGCATGTGTCCTGACCAGGAATTGAACTGGCGACTGGGTCAACGCTCAACCACTGAGCCACACCGGCTGGACTTGTTATGGTATTTTTGCTTGTCAAAATGATTGGATGAGGCTCTTAGGTAGGGGCCAGGAATGATAGGTGTTCTTTACACTGCAAAGAATTGTCCTGCATCCTGCCCTACACTTAGAAGACCTCTGGACATTCATAAAGGTGAAAACTGTTTATAATTCTCTGAGCCTAGAACATAACCACATTTTACATATTGAAATACATTATATATATTTTTATTTTTATTGATTAAAACTATTTATAAATAATTGAAAGATTGAACTATTTTTTCAAAACTCTACCATGAATTTTTCACCATTTTAGAGAATCACCAGTCTATAAGCAACTCCACCCATAGTATTTGAGTCACCAATACTATTTCCCAGTGTCTTTCTGCTTCAGCACATTCTACTATAGCCATGTTTAAGCATTTACATATTGAAATATGTATTGTTTCATTATAAATTACATTTCTTTTGTTTTTCTTTACATAATATGTGTGTTTTAAATTATTGCTTACATCTTTATTATAACTTATCCTTATGAATTTCTTTTCAGGAGAGCAAGAAATAATAATAAATACTTTTTAATAAAAATGTTGTACTGGTCTGATAGAGTTAATAACCACTGTTTAGATCATCTTTCAGGGCCTTTCTACTTCTAACTTTCTGTGGGTATAAGGAGGGGTTGGGTTTTAAGAGGAAGGAGGAGAGCATTCCAGCATGGGAATGACACCAGTGACGTGGCTTGGTTAAGCAGGGGTTGGAATGAACCCAGACAAACCAGATTAGGTCAGAGACATCCTCAGGGCCTGGTCTTGTCATGTTCCTTGGCAGCCACTCCTTTTATGCCTCCCCCCTCACTGTAACTGAAGACTCTTGGGGGAACTGCCAGAGCTGACATTACAGGAAATTGCTTGTGGCCAATGAGGTTTCTCTGGTTACTTTCCTCAGTGACAGAGGACATTAATGGTTTCCTGTCTGTTAGCTGGATGTCTTTTCCTCCTTGTTCTGCCAAGTTCCCAAGAAACCATAGTGTCAGCTTCTTACATTTTTGTTCAGCTTCTGTTATTGGAATTGTTTCCCCTGCCTTATTCAGCTCCCTTACCCCAAGCCTCCTTGTTCCATGCTAGAGATCAGGAAACTTTTGATTCACAATAGACAGATTTTATGGGACACCCTAAAGCCATTGTTTAGAAGTAGGTCATAGCTTCAAACAGATACCACTTCGACTTTGGCAATGCCTACTGAGTCCTCTTCGTTTAAGGGGATGACTTTTATCATTTAGTAACATATTGTTTTTATTCTTACTAATGATATATGCTTGTTGAAGACTGGAAAGTAAATAAATATATGGAAAAGCAAATACAAATTATCCACTATATGAATGAGTAGAGTACTCAACATTAGACAAAATAACAACATAGGTGAAGGTTAAATTCAATGCTATTCTGTCTCTCTCTTCTTTCTTCTGTGCCAGCCCCCAGCTTCCTCTTCCCATAGTACCGCTTGATGATACCCTTATGAAAATTTGCCTGTTCTATATACCATAAAATGGAGGGCAAACTGCATAGTGTACAATAGCACTTACCATGTCACATGTCCAAGGCATATAAGAGATAAAATATCTCATATCAGGAAGGTGTCTGGAATCTAAAATAGCAATATTTTGTCATAGCTCTGCCATCACTTCCTTATTACTGAGGTGTTGTGGTGATAAAGTGTTGTGAGAATGTCTAAAAAGATAAGAGACCATCTAAGAAATTCACAGTGCTCCCTGAAAATTAGGAAAAGGCTCATGGTACAAAGAGGCAAGAATGATGAAGTGTGATTCAGGCTCCTAAATATGCCTTTTTTGGTAAAACAAAAAAAACAAACAAACAACGACAATAACAACAAAAACAGCCAACATTAAACAAAAGAATTAGATGATACTAAATCCATACCAGAGATAAAGTTCTTATTACAGATAATAGAATTTATGTTTTGCTTTTTCCCAAGGTGGATAGGGTCAGAATAGCAGATTCCTTATTTCTGAGTTGTTACATTAAGGGTCTGGTAGACAAAGGACTTAGAAAACACTAAGGCATAAGAACTAAGGTCGAGACCTTGGAGTTAGACCTGGGTTCAATTCCAGCTCTATTCATGTGGTCATCAAACATTTCTTATGTGCCATTCACTGTTTTAGACACTGGGTATATATACAATGTTGAACAACACAGATAAGGTCCCTACTAACACGGACCTTACATTCTAATGGGGCAGACAGAATTTTTAATGGGTGAAAGATAACAGTGATATGATTGAAAGTAACTGGGGGCTACCCTAGGTTGAGTGGTCAGTATTGAACTGAGACCTGCATGATAAAAAGAAGCCAGCACTAGAAAACATCTAAGGGAAGAACATTCCAGACAGAACTAACAGCTAGAGCATAGAGGCCCTGAGGCAGACACAGGCTGAAGTTATTTTTGTTATTTTTATTATTTTTAATTTTTTTTTCTTTATTGACTTTAGAGAGAGAGGAAGGGAAAGGGAAAGAGTGATGGAAACATCGATGAGAGAAAACATCAATTGGCTGCCTCCTGCATGCCCCCTATTGGGGATTTGGCCCACAACCTGGGCATGTGCCCTGACCGGGAATTGAACCGGTGACCTCTTGGTGCATGGATTGATGCTCAACCACTGAGCCACATTGGCCAGGCAAGTTTTTAAAGAATAGAATGAATGCTAGTGTAATTGAAGCAGAGTGAGCCAGGGAGTGAGTGAAGAGATGAGGTTGAAGAGGGTCAGCACATGTCAGGTCATGCGGTGGTCTTGTAGAAATGCAGCTAGTAATCATCATCATCATCATCATCAAGCAGAGAAGAAAAAAGGAAGTTGAAGAGTTTGAAGGATACTATACAATACCACCTGAGGCATGTGGATCTGACTAACTGGGCACAGGGGTGTCACTGTAAGATTTGAATGTTGTTTTGAAAGTGAAGCCTGAGAAGAACAATTCTTAGAGCAGAGTACAGAGTGCCCATTTTCATATATCGTTACATTTCTAGCACTTGATTTTTTTTTGTTTTCAAGTTCTCTGTTACAGCTACTGCTTTCTCTTATGCAAATACATAAGTCCAATGGGGCACTGGATATATCAAGGGTCTATTTTGAGCCTCATGTAAAGAATTTCTCTTGTATTATGTGACTAGAATTTCTACCCATGAGGGGGTATCTGAGCCATAAACCGGCTACAAAACTGGCTCTTTAGTGAAGTATAAACTTGATCTAAATGGGTGCAAGCCTAAGATGACTTTTATTTCATTTGACTCATGACACCATCAGATAAATTTACTTGGTTAGAAGTGTGGCTAATGGTTAAGTTCCTTGGGATAACATTGCTTCTAGGTTCACATGGTTTACTAACTTTATTTTTTTTTAAATAGGGACAGAAGAAATCCTATGGAAAGCCATGTGGAAGCCAAGACTGCAGTTGGGGCTGTAAGTGCTTTCATGAAAAAGGAGTGCGAGTAAGTTGCTTCTTTTATTATTGAAAGACAAATAGTCACAGGAGCTATTATCTGAAGTGTATATGTTTACTTTAGAATTAAACTGCTTAGAATTTCCTCTTCTGATGCTGTGGAACAAGCAAAGTGATGAGGGACCAGCTGGAAGAAGCTTTTATAACTAATAATAGGCAGAATTAAATTGGTCAGTCTCTGAGAGACCAGAAAGAGGTTTCCTTCGTTGACTTAATGCCAAGGTTTCCTCAAGGTTTCACCTGGAGTACTTGCAAAGGCCAGTTAGGCTGTGCAGAACCAAATTATGATATGTTTTTAGACATGTGTAAATTGTCATAGCTCATTTATATCCACGTGGTCCTTTCCTATCACTCTGGGGACCAAGTGCTCCAATTCTTATCTGCAGAGTAGGAATATGACTTGTCCAATATCAAGAGTACACAGTGGCCATAAAGTTCAAAAAAAAGAGTGATTTATAGATATTGTATTAAAACATAGGATATGTTTAAAATATTATGTAATACATTCAATGTAGTGCCCCCTACTAGCAATTCACATTTCAAATTATTGTGCAAATTGCAATGAACACAGTGCATTGATGCAGCATTTTCATCAATCCTTGTATATGCATATGTGATGAGTTACCCCAGATATTTTGTATCTCTGATTTTCCCTGACTAAACCTGCATCTTTAGTATAACTCAGGAAAGTATTCAAGGGGGCTCAATCTTTAAAAAAAAAAAAAGAAAGAAAGAAAAGAAAAAGAAATGTTTCCAGAATTTATGGCCACACTATAGAATCCATATCTTTTGACTTCCAGCATTGTATTTGCATTTTCATAACACTCAAACAAGCCTAAGAGCTTACACAGTCAAAGGAAGGTAGCATAAACAGGTAAAAAAAAACCCTCAGAAACATAGCCAAATGGGGAACAGAGTGACCATTCCACCTTCTCTTTCATCATCTTCCATTTGCAGTAAAATTAAATATCAAACTATGCCAGAATTTGGAGAATAAAAAGCCATCTCCTCATCAAAAATAACCAGACCTATTTTACATTAAAGGCATAAACTTACAGAATCATAAAATGTCTGAAAAGGAAGGTAGCTTAGTGAGCTTCTCATCTTATCCACTGATTGTACAGAGACTCTGAAAAGGCAAATGATTTCCTGGGGTCTCACAGCAAATTGATGACAATTTTGGATTATTACCTGGATCTTTTCATTTCTCCCCTATTTACTTGACCCACAGCTGCCTTCCAGGCAAGTCATGTTCACTATAGCCACCAAGACCCATGCCCTTGCTGCTGATTTACAACTAGGAAGCACTTTAGAAAAAATAATTCTACAATAAATGTATGAATACATTATTCTTTTGCTTTTTTATTAAATGTATTGGGGTTAAGAAGATTATATCCGTTTCAAGTGTATATTCCTATGATACATGATCTGTACAGGGGTGGGCAAAATAGGTTTACAGTTGTGAGTACATGAAACACAGTTTATTCTTGTATTATTTACTTGTATTACAAATGTAAACCTACTTTTTGCCAACCCTTGTATATTGCATTGTGTGCCCACCACCAAAATCATATTCCACAGTAAGTAATGAAGACAATGCAAAAGTCTCCCGTGATGCTCTTTCAGTCTCACTATTGTCTTTCTGATCTTTTTCTGTGCTTACTCAGGGATATGTACAGCTATGTATAAAAATAGTTTCATTTTCTGTTTTTCTCCTCAAAATATAATTATATGTATATAATATGTGCCTTTTTAAGGTTTTTATTATTGTTGTTTTCCACTTAAGATCATTTTATCTACCCCTTAGTTTAGTCCAGCCACTCCTCTTTTGATAAATACTTAGGTTATTATAAAGTTTTGCTATTAAAAAAAATGGTAGTGCTACAGTGGAAATCCTTGAACAGGCCATCTTGTATGCATCCCAAGCATAGATACTAAGAATCAGAATTACAAGATACAAGTGTTATAGACATTTTTAATTTTCAAACCTAATGCTCAATTACCCCACAAAGTATTCCAATTTACACTTGAATCAGCATTATAGAAGAGTGCCCATGTTTCTACACCTTTGCCAGCACTTGATATGCTTGCTAATGTGGGTGAAAAATAATCCCAATTCCCAGACTACATGTGAGTTGAAGCGTCTTTTCACATATGCATTGAATATTTGTGTTTCTTCTATGGATTTTCTGGATATATCCTTTATCTGCTTTACTAAGGGGTGATTGTTATTGACTTACTTTATAGCTGCAAAGATATTGCAAATAAAAATGACCCAAGTTGAAGCACTTGAGATTTGAAGTTTGACACAAAAAAGCATTTCCTGATTGGTTGTGTGGGTGGGAAGCAGTTGGTCAAACCCCACAGCCAGGGAAATAAGAAGCAGCTTTATACTGTTTGTTAGGTTCAGGAGCCTTTAAAAGTAAAAAACTTTAATATATCTGAGTGAAGGTTAGTCCTACACCAGGCAAATGTGACTATGATGACCTCATTGCTTAACCCCTGGCTAAGATTTTGATCTTTGAAGATGGAAGGCAACGGATTTCCTCTGCAAAGAACCCTTGTTTGGGTTCCAAACATCTGGAACCAAGTTTGGCTTCTCCTTTGAAAACATGAATGGTTGAAGGGACATCGGATGGAGAAAATAAAATACCACACATTTTTTTCCTTCAATATTTAAAATACTCAGTGTCCACACCGTTGAATGTTTCCAAAAGTTTATTTGTGAAGTCTGAAGTTTCTGAGTCAGGGTTATTGAACCAAACCAAACTGTATTTCATGAGTCAAAATCAGGGTAGTCCTATTTCCCAAGTACATCAAGAAGCTAGTGTTCATGGGGCAGATCCTGTGAACACAGATTCTTGAAGCTGCCCACAACATCAGGTCCCTTTTTGTATTCCTCCCTACCTTCCTACATTCCCAGGGCCAGGCAGGATTATTTAAACTAGCCCCAGCACTATTGACCCTGCAGGGCAGCCTCTCAGAACCCCTTTTGTGCAGATGTCAGAAAGATTTTAGACTGTTTTCTTTAGTTGAGAAGAGGGCCCAATTTGGATTTTAAGCAGTTCCTCTCAAGCTCTGCGAGCTGGGAGGGGAACTGAATGTTGGGTCATCCCTGAGATACACAGCAGCACTTGGCAGGCCTGCCTCCTTCCTTGGAGAGACATCAAGCACATAGCTTGCTAGGCAGTGTGTACTTATCCTCTGCCAAAGTCCTCTTGAACTGACTAAGACATTTACACAGCACCTAGCACTCCTGCACAACTGCAATCCAATCCTTTTTGGCTTAAGCTTTCTCTAACTGATTTCTTGAAGGTATGCTTTACCTGGTAAAAGCCATTTCCTAGTGTTGGTACACTGCTTTGGACTTTCCAAAGCGTCTTCTTCTCCCAGAGTCTGTATTAGTATCTGTGTGCTACAAATAAACTGATACTTACCCAAGATCACTAGCCTATTAATGGTTCAACTTTATTTAGCCTACATTAGGAAAATGTCAACTTTAAAAAATGTCATACCTAGTATGTTAAATAAAGGGGTTTTCCCCTGCATATTTCAATTTGGATTTAATATTTGACTTCTGTTTTCTTTTTTGAGGGTAGGTATTATTATCTAGAAGAACATTTCTTTTGAGTTTTTCTCTTCCCTGGTATTTTTTTTTTTTTTTTCCTTTTCTACCATTAAATGAACAAACCATTTCAAGTTGACATTTCTATCCCTGCACTTTTTTTCTACTGGATTTGAAAGGAGTATGCTCCATTGGTGTGTGTTTGTCTGAGTTGGGAACAGTCATGACTATTTTGTTCTGAGCCTATTATTCCTTAATACTATTTTAGGGTATTCCCTGTGTTAACAGTGTTCTGGTGTTAATATATAGCATGGCAAGCTCCTATTATCCATGCCATGTAAAGGACCATTATTACAGATAACACCAAACCACAAGGAACGTTTGGATTCTCCCTTAGATGAGGACTACTTGCCCCTGTTTTTTTTTTTTTTTTTTTAATTAATTTATTTTTGTTACAGATGTTTCTCCTTTTTCCCCCACTGATTCCCCCTTCCCCCCTCCCTGTCCTGTCCCAGCTTTGTTGTCCATATCCATTGTTCATATATACATGAATATAAGTTCTATGGTTTATCTCTCCCCCCCAACCCCTTTTCTGAGGATTTTCAGACTGTATACCACTTCCACGTCTCTGGGAGTACCCCATTCCTCAGACTGTTATGTTCATTATATTTCACAAATAAGTGAGATCATGTAATATTTGTCTTTCTCTGCTTGGCTTGTTTCGCTTAAAATAATACTTTCCAGGTCCTTCCATTTTGTCTCAAAGGATAAGAGATCTTTCTTTCTTACAGCTGCATAGTACTCCATTGTGTATATTTACCACAACTTTTTTATTCATTCGTCTACTGATGGACATTTGGGCTGTTTCCAGATCTTAGCTATTGTAAATACTGCTGCTATGAACATGGGGGTACATATATTCTTTCTGATTGGTGTTTCAGGCTTCTTGGGGTATATTCCTAGAAGTGGAATCACTGGGTCAAATGGAAATTCAATTTTTAATTTTTTGAGGTAACATCATATTGTTTTCCATAGTGGCTAGACCAGTCTGCATTCCCACCAGCAGTGTACTAGAGTCCCCTTTTCTCCACACCCTGGCCAACATTTGTTGTTTGATGATTTGTTGATGGCGGCCATTCTGACAGGTGTGAGGTGATACCTCATTGTTGTTTTAATTGCATCTCTCTAATGATTAGTGATGTTGAGCACTTTTTCATATGTCTCTTAGCCATTTGTATGTCCTGTTTGGAGAGGTGTCTATTTAGTTCCTCTGCCCATTTTTTAATTGTTGTCCCTGTTTTATAGCTTTGGGGGCTTTGTACTAGCTAGAGAGTTTATAAGGCAAGCCTGAATTTAATGTGAAACAGCCTAGGTTTCTTAATTCCTTATCTCCTGACTATATTTTGCCACTTCTTTGTCACAAA